GGAGAGTCGAGCCTTGGAAGGGTGCCCGAGTGGGACTACCAAATGGTGAATTGGTGCCGGCAAACAAAGAAGGATCGGTTTTCCTTGATGGAGGACTCGAAACTTAAACATGTTCTATATGTTCCGAAATTGAATTGCAATTTGATTTCGGTATCACAATTGACGAATGAAGTAAAATGTACAAGTGCATTTTATCGATAGATTTTGTGCAATGCAGGACCACACTTCGAGGATGCCGATTGGTGCGGGTGAACGAAAAGAGGGACTCTATTGGTATCGTGGTGTGAGTGGCATAAAGGCGTATCGGACCAATGCGAGAAAATCAACTAGAGATTTGGCACAAGCGAATGGGACATCCCGCCTACCGCATTGTTAGAAAAATTCCGCATCCGAACAGCGTGAATAGAAATACGGATACAACTCGTGTGTGTGAAGTGTGTGAGAGATCAAAACAATGCAGAAACACATTTCCTTTAAGTGATTTTCAAGCATCCAATATATTTGATTTAATACATTGTGATGTATGGGGTCCATATAGAACTCCCTCGTCTTGTGGTGCATCTTACTTTCTCACTTTGGTTGATGACTGTTCTCGAGCTGTGTGGATATATCTCTTGAATAATAAGAAAGATGTGTCACAAACCTTAATGCATTTCATCGCCTTAATAGAACGACAATACGAGAAACAAGTCAAAATATTACGAAGTGACAATGGAACCGAGTTTATGTGTCTTCAACGATATTTTCAGCAACATGGGATACTCCATCAAACCTCATGCACTTGGAACACCTCAGCAAAATGGGAGAGCCGAACGAAAACATCGACACATCCTAAATGTAGCTCGTGCTCTACGATTTCGGGGAGAACTTCCACTTCAATTCTGGGAGAATGCATTTTGACCGCAGGATACTTGATCAATCGTACACCCTCAACCGTTCTCCATGGAAAAACTCCATATGAAATATTGAATGGGAAGCCACCCACTTATGACCATCTACGGGTATTTGGATGCTTGTGTTATGCACATAACCAAGATAGGAAAGGTGACAAATTTGCAAGTAGAAGTCGCAAGAATGTATTTGTTGGATATTCAATCGAAAAAAGGGCTGGAAATTGTTTGATCCGGAAAGAGAAGTCTTCTGGACTTTGAGAGATGTTAAGTTTGTAGAACATGAATTCTCGTTTGCCTCTCTTGCCCACAGTAGACATTCGGAGGTAGGATTGCCTCATCGTTGATGTTGGCATTGTCGAGGAAGCATTGCCTGGACTTGGTGCAATGAACAATGCAGAACACGTTGTGGAGACCGATGACGTTAACCCCACAACGGAAGATGTGCCCACAACCGAGTTCGGGGAGGGCCACGCCGAATGCCATGAACAAGAGCCTCCCACCCGGATCGTTCTCCCACCGGAACAAGCCGACTCTATGATGACAGAACTAGAGGTTCCCGAGGAGCATATTGTCCCCGCATCCCCGGGGAAAGGTCTTCGTGTACGAAAGCCATCTCGTGAAGCTTCGTGATTATGTCACTAACACCACTTTACAACTCGGTCCCTCAATTCGCACTCCACATTCAGCTTCCTCGGGTATGCCTTACAGTTTGACAAAGTACTTAAATTGTGCTAAATTCTCCTTCCCCCACCGAACCTTTCTTGCAGCCCTTCATGCGAGAGAGAACCTGTGCATTTCTTTGAAGCTCGTTCGGGATGTTAGATGGAGAGATGCCATGGCTAGTGAAATTCGGGCCCTCCAAAGTAATGAAACATGGGACATTACTCCTCTACCGGCAGGGAAGAAGCCTCCGGGTTGCAAGTGGATTTATAAAATCAAATATCATTCCGATGGGAGCGTTGAACGCTTCAAAGCCCGATTAGTTGTCTTGGGAAATCACCAAGTTGAGGGGATTGACTATGACGAGACTTTTGCCCCGATGGCAAAGATGGTCACCATTCGGACAAGTGTTGGCAAGTGGCGGTAGCCAAAGACCGGGAACTTCATCAAATGGATGTCCATAATGCTTTTCCGCACGACGATCTTGAGGAAGATGTGTACATGAAAATGCCGCCGGGGTTCTTGGTGTCTCAAAAGGGTATGGTGTGTCGTCTCCGCAAGTCCCTTTATGGTCTTCGTCAAGCTCCTCGGTGTTGGTTTGCCAAGCTCTCAACTGCTCTTGTTCAATATGAGTTTCAACGTTCTTCGTCTGATCACTCCTTGTTCATCTTTCGCAAAGGAGATGTCGAACTGGTTGTGTTAGTTTACGTGGATGACCTAGTCATTGCTGACAATCATCATGAAGACATTGCGCAATTCAAAGATTATCTTCATCAATGTTTTCGTATGAAGGACTTAGGGAAATTAAAATACTTTCTTGGGGTGGAGGTTGCCAGATCTCCTACAGGAATTTTCTTGTGTCAACGGAAGTATGCGTTGGACATCATAGCTGAAGCAGGATTGCTTGGAGGGAAACCTATGTCCACGTCAATCGAAGAAAATCATCGTTTAGCATTGGCTGATGGCGAACTACTTTCTGACCCGAGTCAATATCGACGTCTCGTCGGTCGCCTTATTTACTTGTGTTTTACACGACCTGAATTATCTTACAGTGTTCATGTCCTATCTCAATTCATGCACCAACCGCGTCAGGAGCATTGGCGGGCTGCACTCCGCGTGGTACGCTATTTAAAGGGCAGCCCAGGTCGTGGTGTGCTTTTAAAAAGAGAGAGTGACCTTCGTCTTTATGGTTGGTGTGACTCGGACTGGGCAAGTTGTCCTCTAACTCGAAGATCTCTCACCTGGTTGGTTTATTTTCCTTGGTCAATCCCCCGTTTCCTGGAAAACCAAGAAGCAACATACGGTTTCTCGATCATCCGCTGAGGCAGAATATCGTTCTATGGCCAACACGACATGTGAGTTGAAATGGCTTCAAGGCCTTCTTTCGAGCCTAGGCATTACTCACACCGACCTTATGACTCTCTACCGTGACAACAAAGTCGCCCTTCACATTGCCAAGAATCCTGTGTTTCATGAACGGACAAAACATATTGAAGTGGATTGTCATCTTATTCGTGATGAAATACAACACAATCATATCCAACCCTCCTATGTGTCCACTCATCATCAACTGACTGATCTCTTCACCAAATCTCTTGGCACCACTAAATTTGGTTCTTTTTTAGGCAAGTTGGGCATTCACAACCTTCATACTCCATCTTGAGGGAGGGTGATAAACATAGAATATACGATTACAAATACCGTATCATGCCATGATTCTACATGATTAATTTTTTCCATATTTAGCTTGGCATGACAGCGATGCACAGTGATGCACATTAATGTCATATTTGTTAATAGACAAATTTAGGATACCGACTATAATGGTTAGCGTAATTATAGCCTAGAATGTTTCTGTATTTCATGTATATATTGTGCTATCATATTCAATACAAGACAGGGGTTTTTGGAAATATTTTTATCAAGGGAAAAGTTTGGAAGAGAAAAGAGAGTATGATGAAGGAAAATGGAAGAAAAGATGATTAACATGTATGGATAGAAAGCACATTATTAGTAAAGTAAAAGAGGGATGAGAGTAGTGAAAGTGAGTCTCCTCTTTGCAAAGATTGTCCTCAAACTAGAGGACATGCTTTTCTGTGAACCAGGTCCATATGATTTGTTAGGCCACACGTACTTTATATGCTATTCAATTCGTTCATATCTCTTTGGCACCTTCTCACCCTAACCTAAAGCTTACGTGCAGGTTGTTAATTATGCCCTGAACACTGCTTCCTCATTCACACCACTCTGAGGTATAAATTAATTTGTGTGGTTGGGTGATGACTACTGAATTGTGATGCTCCATATGTAACTTGTACAATAATAGTTTGCATTATTAAGGGAATAAAACTATGATATATTGGAGACAAGGTGGTGGCTCCATCCACTACCCACCCATATATGTCAAAGAAGCATATGCTATTTTCTCATGTGGTGGGTGAGATTCAACAAATCCATGTCAATCAACTTTTCTTCTGCTCAAACATGGAAAACAAACAGTTCGTGCAAAGTTTACAGTTCCAACGGGATATGCATAATTTATTTTCAGTGACTAGTCTATGTTTTAGATTTTAATGGAAAAAATTAACTATGTTGTTGCATTTTTATTTTTATTTTCACTAATAATAATTGAGATAAGTTAATTCATTTTAATTTAGAATTAGATTGGTTCTAGGGGACAAAAAGCAGGCTTGCTCAGGCCCATCTCAATGTGGCCCCAAATAAACCAAGACGACCCCTCTGGAAATTTAATTTTGAATTTCCAAAACATAATTCAAGAGGGAATATTTAGCATAGTTCGTAAATTTTTCACAAAGGTGTTTGACAAGTTTTTTATAAAATTCCATCCACTTTAATAAAACTGTGTTGAGGAAACCCAATAACAAATTGATCTATAATTCTCATGAATCAATTGTAATTAAAAAACTAAAAGCTTATTCAATTTTAAAAAAAATATTTGAAGCAATTAAATTTTAATCTAAATGTTACTTATTATAAAATTTGTGGTTTCATGTTAGTTAAAATGATTTTTTTAATTCATATTATCACTGAATGAATCAACACTACCACCAAATCATTTATCTGCAGTATGCTACACTGAGACCTACACATGCACAACTACCTCAAAAAGCATTGTGCAGAGGGGTCAAAAGAACAAAACTAAAAAATATAGCAACAAAAAGGCCTATGTTACATAATACATAATATCAAGTATACTCTAGTAATCATCCACTACTAAAAATTCTCATGGGAATATTTTTGTAAAATTTTTATAAAAATTACAAGAAATAAGTTTTCTATAAATTTAAACAATTTTTTACAAGAAAATTAACAAAAAAAAACTAATTTTCTAGTAGTGATCATACATATCCTCCCTCAACCAACAACAACTGAGGGGTATGCATGCCAACACGTAAATTAGTTGGCTTTTCGTTCAAACAACCAAACCTAAACTAAAGCACTCCAAACAGCTCCATCCTCCTCACCACACTTAGAGTGCACATATTTGATCTTCTCCACTGACTTGCAGATTCCACTGCAGCTCCAGTCAAAGGATGCAACACATATGTTACCTGCTTCTGCCTTCCACTCACAGTCTACACAAACATTTGGTTAAGAGTAAAGTTTCGTGGGGAAGAAACCAAAGTGTCATAGGAGTATAGTTGAAAAAGTATAGATTCCAAGAATTTTTATATGCCATACCTGGAGGAGTTCCACAGCACATGCTGCGGTCATCTATGTGCTCAGCTTCTAGACCTATGAACCATGCACCAAGTGACACATCTTCATTGGCATATTTGTGCAATATTGGCCTGCAATCACAATTAGGATCACCCATTAAACTTGGACTGATTCCTGGACTAGAACAGAAAACACTTTTAACAAACTGAGACAAAAAATTTGTTTTTTTATAGTTTAGAATGGATGTTAACTCACTGAAAATGTTTCAAATATATGGTGAATCTAGTGAGAGTGTCAAAGGTGGAATTAATTAATCTTAAACATACATAGTTAATTTTAGTTAAATCTATCACTGCTTGTCATAACAGTTGTATGGTCTAGATTAATCCCTCTTGTACTGTCAATTGAAATGTAGCTTCGTGTTGCATGAAAGACTGAATCCATACTGGTTAATGGAAATGTAGGTGGCTAGATCCTTAGAGATTGCATATATCTGTCCAGTTGCATGACGGAAGTATTTGTTACCCTCTTCTCCAAACTTCCAAAACTCAGGTTCATGATACTTAACATCCCTACAATAAGAAACAATATCAGATAACACATAGCCACAATAAGAAGCATTGAAAGGGAATGGCCTCAGCCTGCAATATAAGTCCAGTTGAATTACTTTCGTGAAAGAACAGGTCCAGATTTCATACATCCAATGTAGACCCTTGGCTTTGAACGATGCCGAGCAAGGGTTGTCGCAAGTACACCTACATGGCAGCAGTTGTTAGAACAAACCTTACTTGTGAAGTTGTGAGGGGGGGAATGGGGTAGAGGAAACAATAGCGTAGAAACACAAGAAAAATGACAAGAATATTGAGACAGCATATACCTAAATTGACATGGACATCATCATCCACTTTGACATAGAAATCAGCATCCCATTTTGCAACTGCCGTAGAAAAGAAAATTTTTGTCTTAGCAGACAGTTCATGATACCCTTCAACATGTTCCTACAAAATGAATAAACAATATCATAATCCTGATAGATTATTAGGATTAATCTCACAAAAAAAGTTCCAATGATGAGTTACCAGGCGAAGGAAATCTTTGTGCTGGGCTTCTTCTGAATCAATGGCTCGATCAAGAATGCTGTTAGAAGTTGCACTGGGACAGCCATTACAATCATTCACGTCAGTTCCATTAAGGGTAACCGTGCGTCCTTTAAAACATGTTTCTATTTTCAATTAGAGTGATAATACGAGTATGTTGTGTTGGGTTCAGTTAGAGCAATAATTAAGAGAAAAAATAAGAACATCCCTACAGTAACTTCAGAATTTACTATTTTGCATTCATTTTCTATTTTTCTTGGCTATGGTATAAATAGCCCCTTCTGCTGCCAGAACAGAGCTACATCACACAGATGGTCTATGAAAGGAAGAGAAATGAAATTCTAATTATTACTCTTCAACCTTAAGAGTTGTCATGGATGAAACAAGAAGAAATTTGTATCTCCATGAAAACTTATTAATAATTGAACCTCATGAGACCAATCAACCATACCACAACTTGTTTTGTATTGTGAAGATGTTTCTAACTTCTAAGACTTTCAAGAGCAAACTCTTGAAATTGTATTCTAATTATAAAATTGATGAAGGAGGTGTTCAGATTCAAGATATTAAGATGACGAGGAGCAAAAAAAGAAACCTGGATTCGGTTACTTAGATCATGGATCATTGTAATAATACAAAGAATTGAACCATCACACCCTTAGCCAATTATATACACAAACAATATTCCATACATTCCATGGTCAACGAGGTCAACGGGATAAATTTCATGAAAACTATAGTGCTACAGAGATTCTCAATTCTAGCTATCTTTTGCGAAATGATTTCCAATTAACACAAGATTTTGATACTAAATATCAACAAAATAGTAAATACATGTGTTTTCACATAACAAAGGAAACTTCAAATGGCATTGCATTTTATGGAATTATGGATAAAGCTTAATTTATTTGCTGACCTTAGTCACTTTAGGCATTATTGTAACTCTCCCCCGATTCACACCATACTTTATTTTGATGATAATTTCACCTTACTAACACAATCAAAATCTGACAAGAAATTACCTGTGACCAATCATGAATCTGATGACGATTCCCTTCTCTTGTTCCAATTGAAGAAGCTGCTCCCCTGATCAAAAGGGGAAGCCAAAACCACAACTTGTTAGAAATTAGTCCATCACCATTTAGATTAGATTAAAACAATTTCCATTCAAAAACATAGGATACCTTGAGGCATCCAGGTCTCTCTAACCGAATCACGTCGCTTCCTGCTACTGAAAGCAGTGTTTATGCCAATCACTACAAACACCTTCCTTGGAGGGCCTTCGGTGGAGGACCCTGAGGCCAAGGTGTTAGCCAAACCATCCGAGACCTCAGATTCTCTAGTACTCCTTGCTACTGCTAGCTCCATCTGAAGATGGGAGACTTGCTTGTCTAGAGATCTGACATCCCTCCAAAGAAAAGTCAACACCAATCATTCAACAAACACTTGAATTGCAACTTGCAAATGCAAACAAATCTAACCAAAAATGAAAATATATTCCTCTTAGCACTTACTGAATGGCCTCATGGGTTTTGTACACTTCACTCATTACATCCTTATCCTGCACAGGCTGCATGTGACACATTCAAAACACCACCACAAGTTTTAAAATCATAGAACATAATTTTAAAAAGTACGTGCAAATGGAACTGAAGAATTCACTGGGAATGAAGCATAAAAAACATGCCTTTTTAGTAGCACAATCCCCTGATACCACTTGCAATTCTTGCTCACGTCGATGATTTGACAGAAGCACCCCGTTAGGCCCAGGTGGCTCCCATATCCTGCATAGTTAATAACGTTGTTATTGGTCAGTTCAGTCATCAACATGAGCAATAAAAATTTGAACTTGGAGAAACAAAGTGCGAACACACAGACCCAAGTTACGAACTTTAGTTTCAGTATAACAAAATAAAATATAAATAGAAAAGAAAAGTAGACAAAACCCAAGACCTGAGAAGAATCGACAGAAGAAGTAGAGAGATCAAGATAGAGTGACCTGGTTGTTATGAGCATTCCAAGAATGAAGGAAAATACAGAGAAAATTGGAATCCATTTTGCTGAGATCTTGGTAGAACTACGAGTCTTCATACGGTCCTGTGTCTGTGTCCGTGTAGTACTACAACTTCTAAATTTCCAATACACTTTTTACGTTGAGATGATGATAACAGGTGATTTGTGGATATTTATATGAGAATAACATTTAGTGGACGATTTGAAATTTTAATGGAGCAAAATGGTGATACTTTATAAATAAATAATATTTTATGAACATGTTAGGACTTCAGAAGTTATACTTTGTTTTGATGGATAGAGAAGTGAGAAATAGGTTCTACAAAATTAAAAGTATTTAATGGAAGAGAAATAAAAGAATAAAAAATAAGGAGCGGATAGAAAGACATAGTAATTTGTGTTTTATTTTATTTTATTACATCATTTGTTTATTCCACTTTCATCAATTACTTCATGTTAACTCTATCTTGATTCATGTTCTCTCATCTTTCATCAATTTTATCATAATGTATTTTTCAGTATGACATTTTAGTAATCATAACATGTAATTTCCACTTTATCTAATACTCTTTTTTTTTGTTTTAAAATTAATGCAGTTTAAGATTCTTGTACACAAAATTGAGAATAAAATATTTAAACAATTTTACTAAATAATACAATTCGTTCTATAAATACGTTGCTTATATGTTATAAATTCAAACATTTTTCTCAATAAATATAAAATATAAGAATAAAAAAATGATTACAAAATATCAGTCAAATTCATTTTAAAAAATTAACACTACAACCATTTTAGATAGAAAAAATATTTGTCATGAATTTTTATTTTATTTTAAATAAATTTTCATATGTTATATATTTTTAAGGTTAAGGTGTCTGTGGATTACTTTCATTCAAATTTTTATTAAAAATTATCTCAATTATATATTCAAATTAATTATAATTCAGTTTAATTTAATATAAAACCTGAATAGATGTTTTCTGATTTAGTATGAATAGTTTTTGTTAAGATGTTTATGCATCGCTGGTTAGTTTTGAAATTTTGCATGGTCTTTTTTTAGCTCCACGTGTTAGAATTTCTTCAGTCTATGATGGAAAGCAAAGAAATAAAAGATCCCAACACTGTTGTGACTTTTTTTGCCTCCAGTTTACTGTTGCAAAATAATAATGATAAAATTAAATAGATGAAAAATAATAGTATTAATAATAAAACATATAAATAATGGTAGTATTTTTTAATTAAATAATTTTAAAAGAGTTATTTTCACCTATTTTTCTTCAATCAAATAATTTTTTTCTCCGATACTTTTCTTCGTTTCTTTGCTCCTCCACCTACTTTTTCCCTTTTATAATTCCTTCATTTTTATCCAAAACAGATGTTGAACTTCTGGTAGGATTTGAATATGGATTTAGAGGAGAAAAAAATTAATAGATTTAAATAAAAAAAGTAAGATAGTTTGAATTAAGATAATTACGATGAGAAATGAAAAAAAAAATTGTGAGTAATTGTGATTGATCGGATAAATTAAAAAAATATTTAAAAAAATAAAATTATAAGATTATAATTTTATCATAATATTTAAAAAATATTTTAAAATAAAATATAGATGGTGAAAATTATGTTAAATTAAAATGTGACCGATGACTATCATAATGACCTTTAAATCATCTTTATTAATATCATCATCTATGATACAATACAAAACCAAAATAAAACCACAATGTAGGAATATCAACACAACACATGAACCTATATTCGATTATGAGTAAAAAAAATAGAAGAAACAGTTCAAATGTAAAATAAGAGAGGAAAATCGATTATGGAAACAATATAACCAATTTTATAAAAAGAATAATAGATTTCAACAGAGAATAATGGATTTCAAAAACAGAATAATTGATTATAGGAGAATCAAATTCAAAAAGTGTATAATTGATTCTTCTTGATAATTATAGAGGAAGATAATCGATTTTGTTGAAAGAATAAAAATAAGATAATCGATTCTTTATTGTTCCATAATCAATTCTCTAATATCACGATATACACGTAATACAAAAATTGAAAGCCAGAACCAAAACTATATTTTAAAAATATGTGAATTGACTTGTTACTTTCTTTCTTTCTTTTTTTTCTTCTCACTTAAGTATAAACACTTATCCTTTCAATCTTACGAATTTATCTTTGTCTTTTCTTTATTTGATCCAAATAACATAAAACCTCTATTGTATCCATATATTAATTAAAACAAACATGATTAAATAAAAAGTGAAACCTATAAAAATTTTATACGCTGTTTTTTTTTTCATAAATTTGTTCGTCTATCTAATTAGAAAAAGGTTTTTCTTAAAAAAAAGGATTTAAATTTTAAAAAGTGCACTAAATTAGTAAACTGTGCATTTGGCAAATTATTACTGTATTTGTTTTCATCTATTTAATAGTAATGCAGAATGAAGAGTGGTGGTGAGAATTAATTTGGTTTTGTGGTTTTAAGCTGATGCACATAGAAATAACAATGCAATCCACACCAAGGAATGTCACTTTCTCGTTCATGAAGAAAATGTTAGAAAGTCATGTATAAAGTCACTTTACCATCACACATAATTAATTAATTATATATTTTTTGTATAATTAATTATCTTCATCTTATTATGTATGTTACATAATTTATTATGAGTCTTATTTTATATAAATATTTTTAAAAAAATTACATAAATATTATCTTTTACATGTATTATCAAACTATAAATATTTATATTAAGTTTATTTTTCATAATTTGTATAAAAAATAAATTAAATTGTAATTTAAATTAACTAATCCTTAAAAAAATTATAAAAATTATCTTATATAAAATTTTATTTCTTATAAAAATTAAACCTGTTATATACAATTTAATAAATATAAATAAAATTTGTATAAATATTTAATCATTTTTTTATTTCAAGAAAATATCTTTCATCAATAAAATGATTTAATAAAAATTATTAAAAAATAATATTTAATAATTCATATTTTAAGAATGATTCATTAATAACATTTTTTAACTATACTTTTAATTTATTATTAAAAAACATATAAAAAATATGATATAATATTTTTAATCGGTTATCTAATAAGAATATGTTAATTAATATAATTTTTTAATAATTTAATTTTAATATATATTTATATACTACTGAAAACATATAGTTCATATAATTTTAAATAAATATTAAATTAAAAATTAATATTTTAATTAAAATAATTTATTTTAAAAGATAATAATATAAGTATAATTATCTTATTTATTATATTAATATTTATTTATAATTAATATATACAAACTTTATTTTTATTTATTTTTATCCATTTTATTAGATAATTATTTTATACTAAATAATAGTTATCTTAATTTTAATTTATATTTTTTAATAAAATTATGTAAAACATATTTTAATCATTTATCATTTTATTTTATTATTTAATATTTTAATCAATTAAATTAATCATATTTTTCACTTTTTATTATTCTTCTCTAAATTAAAAAAAAAACTCATATTTTACTTCATTTCCTTCATTTTCCCCTCTCCTAAATCTCATAAATCTAAATCCAAACATAAGTTAAAGGTGATGAGACAAGTGGTTGAAATTGTTAGGCAAAGTTGACAAGCGACTTCAACGCCTAAGAAATGGTATCTCTCGTTTCGTCAATCACGCCTTCAGTATGGACGTGACATGATGATATTCAACCAAAACCTTTGAAATGGAAACAATCCCTCCATCCATTCATTCTTTTATTTCAACTTAATCATACTCGCGTCTCAACTTAAATAAAGCTATAAAAAACACTTTTTTTAATTGGTGCTAATTACTCATTATCACAAATAATAAATAAGTTGTGTACTGTATTGAAAATTTTCAACTCAAATCCTAATATATAATTAACAATCAAAATATCTTTCCTTATTTGTCATAAAAAAATTAAAGAAAAACCTAACAACCCACTGCTACAAACTTATATTTATATACACAAAAAAAGTGAAATATATTTACGTAAAACAATGTCTCAATCTGACACAAACACAATCGTATACGGAAGAAAGAATACAGAATAGTAGATATTATTTTAATTTATCCTATTCAATAATTTAAATAAATTACTATTCATAACACTCAATAATGTAAGATTGAGGTTGAGTCTTAATTCTGTATAATTAATAGAAAGCAATTATGATTTAATTGTATGAAAAATGAAGAAGGTTTCACAACTTACGTAACCTCTCTTTGCATGGTTACAAACAAATGAAAATTAAGCTGAAACTTAGCTTTGTCCAATTTACTTTCCTAACCGTAAATATTTCTTTACACACGTGTCTTCGTAATTATACTTCAATCATAATTGATTTGTGTTTTTATCTTAGTTAATTATTGTTACATTACATGCATATAAGAAGTGACCATTTAGGTCGTTCAAACAATATATTACTAATTTTTTAAATAATATATTATTAATAAATAATAAATAAAAGTAAATATATATATATATATATATAAGAAGTCAAATTTATAAATATAAAAAATATATTTAATAATTATTGAAGTTGAGAAATAAAAAATATAAATTTTAACATGAATTAAAAAATTTAAAAATAATAATGAAATTTGACGTCAAAAAATAAATTATAAAATTTTGGAATCTTCTCCGCCAAACAACACGTACAAATAGCAGACACCACAGACAGGGAAGAAGGAAAAGATTCCCTGACGAAATGCGAGTCATGTGAAGAGAGAGTATCTTGTATGTTAAGGTTTGGGCATTGACAAAATAATTTTAATTCAATGAATTAATTTAAAAATTCGACAAATAAGTTAAATTAATTTTAAACGATCTTTTTTGTAATTTTCATTTTTTTATCTTATATTCATTTAAAAACAACTTGAATATAAATAGGTTCTAAATTTATTCTTTCTTAAAATTTTGAAACAATTTTTTTTTAATATTTTATATTAATCTTTTTAAAAAATTTGCTGAAGTATTATGTAATTAGATCTTTTGAAATATTATCTGAAAAACTTTTAAAACCTCCAAAAAGTTTTCAA